AATCACTGTTTAATTACCATTCAATTATTCCTTAACTACCATTTAATTTCCATTCAATCATCGACTAATTTTCATTTGATCATTGTTTAATCATTAGTAAAACTCTTTCAGTTAACACCACGATAACTTCTCTTAATAATCTGCCTGTGGCAGGAGGCTGGCCCCACTGGCTGCACACCGGGGATGCAGCAGCTTTGGGCTTCAGTGGAACAGCAGGTTCTTGCATGCTCTCCACAGCAGAAAGTCTGGGGCCCTTCCACTTTCCCTCTCCTTCCTGCAGCTTTTGTGTTCTGAGTGGAGCATGGCTCCTGTGGCTGGGTCCCAGTATTCTGCTGGGGAAACTAGTACAGTGAGAAAACTGATGTGGTGGGGCCACCAGTGCTGGTATAATAGCTTTATTGGGAAAGTACTCATGGGCTGGTCGTCACTGCAGGGGTCTGGCAGCTGTTGCTGTTGCATGGAGAGATTTTGTCCGTAAGGGCTGAGGAACATCTAAAAGGAGTGCTGTTGTCTCTGCCTGTGCTTATTTTGGGTGTCCTGCTCAGATGTCGTACCCAGAGGAACTGGCTGTCCTGGCAGATGGAGACTTGCTTGACTTCCTCCTGAAGGATGATGCTCCCTGCCCTGAAATCCCAGGGGAGGAGAATGGTCTGCTGGAAGACTGGGACATGCCAGACCCTGAGGTGAGTTCTTTGGGAGGAATTGCTGCTGGGCTGTGGTTCAGAAGGTTTGACTCCCTGCTGAGTAAAAGCTTTTTCTCCACAGCTCCTGGACAAGGAGGTGGATGACTTCATCAGCTCCCTGCTGAGCCCCCTTAAAGATGAACCAGCCATGCTGCAGGGTTACTCACCTGCTGACTATGACAGTGGCATTTCTAAGCATCAGCCTCTATCACAAAGTCCTGGCAGCAACTTTTCCAGCAGCCCTTGGAGCTCAGACGTTGTGCAGGTTGATCACAACTATTCCCTCCATTGGGACTGCCCTATGCTGGAAAATGTGATGTCTGACATGGCAGGAGGAGATGTTTCTGCTGACATTGGTAAGTGATGTGTGTGGGCTCTTTCTGGCCTGGCTACAGGCAGAAAAGCAGTCCCACATTGGGGTTTTTTGGGTCAGTGCCAGGCAGTGATGGAGAGAGCAAAGTTTAGTGGCTTTCTGCTGCTGTAAAATTGTGGTTTCATGTTACTCAAAGCTGGATGGTCAGGTGCTGCCTCACTGAGGCCCAGCACTTGACTCTGCTTTCCTTCCCCAGGGACATCAACAGGTTTGGAAGGAACAAGCAAGGCAGTGGAAGAGAGCTCCAGTTTCCCTGTTGCTGTGGATGCCGGACCCCAGGTTGTGCCTGGAGCTATCATGCAGGTACTGACTGCCCTGAGTGTGGGCCTCAGCATTTGCTTCTGCTCACATCTCCCCTTCTCTCCTGGCTTGGCTTCTTTGAGGGATATCTCTGAGGAAAGCATGATGCTGCTTTGGGAGAGCTGATCCTGGTTCTGTATGCTTTCTGCATGCCCTATCTGCCATGGAGTGGATTCTCTTTACTTTGCATTCACAGTGGGTGTGTTTTTGCTGTTTCCTAGTCTGACTTTCCAGAGCTGGTCCTGACAGGGGAGGAGATGCAGCTCCTGGAGAGAGAAGGTGTTTTATTACCAACTTGTCTGCCATTGACTGAAGGGAGTCCTGACTACAGCCTGTCACTCCCAGACGGACCCAAACTACCCAAATGCTTCAACCAGAGTAGGAGTTTGAAAATACAGGTTGGTGCCTTGATGAGAGCATTGATGCCCAGGAACTGTGTTCAGGGCAGCGTGCGGCAGGGCTTGGTGTCCTTTTCCTCCTTCTGAGACCTGGGGGCTGTCCTCGTGCACAGCAGCCTCTCCTTTGCTAATCGAGTAGCTACAAAGAGCAATAAGGCCTGGCTGCTGTCAGTCTCCCCACTCACAACTGCTTGCGGGAGGCAGTTACACCACAAGTTCCTCCAACCTATTTTTTCCTGCATGCCTAATGGCTTGTGAGCTGCATGCTTTTCATGTCCCTTAGGTATGCCTCACTTTTGCTACACCAGGGAAGCTGCTGGCTGCATCAGCAGGCCAGAGCTTGCCTTGCAGCTCCTGCAGTTCATTCAGTGGTGTGGGAGGGACAGAGAACAAAACCACATGGGCTGAGCGCTCAGGTGTATGCAGGGTTTGTGAGGGCTGGATTGCCAATGCCCAGGGGTTGCTGCTAAAGAGAAATGACCCTTGCAGGCTAAAGACTGGCCTCTGAAGAAGGTGCGTCGTAAAGTTCGGAACAAGCAGTCATGCCGGGATAGTCGTCGCAGGAGGAGGGTGTACGTTGGTGGCATGGAAAGCAGGTACAGGCATACAGCAGTGTCACCCAATGCTGAGTAGACAGAAAGTTCTTTTAGGGATTCTTGGCAGCATGGTGACGGCACTAAATCATAGTTTCAATTAAAGCTTTGTTTTCTTAAGATATGATGATTAGTATAGCACAGAATTTATGTTTAGAATGGCACAGCATTTCTTCAGGCAGAATCAATGTAGTACAATCTATAAGCAGCGTAATACAGAGTTTATAATACAACTTAATTTCTAATCACCTAGATTCTAATACAACTTAACTTAAGATTTCTAATCACCTGGACCCTCTGCAGATTGTTTCAGATCTTAATACTTGGTTTGCTGTATCAAAATAATGATCATAGTCTATATGCAAAAATGATATAAAGGAATGAGTCACTCCATCAATCATGGGAGGAAGCAGACGATGGTGGAGGTGTCCCTGGCCAGGCAGGGGGATCCTGGGTCTTGCTGTCCAGGCGCAGCTCTGGTCCAAGTTCCCCCTTAGGACTTGTAATGCTTGATTTTATGGACAGTGCTGTGTGTGCTGTTACGCTTCCCTGCTTTGTGACAGGGTTGTCAGCAACACTGGGCTTGGCCGGGTCCCTGGGACCTTCAAGGGCGGTAAGGAATGGCGTAACCAGCCTGGCGCCCGTGAACCTTGAGGCTGGTAGGGAGGGGAAGAAGAAATCTCTTTGGTTTGTCTATTTAGTTCCCAGGGCCTTCAGAGCCTGATAATGAGGGGACAGGAACAAATATCTGACCCATTTAGTCACAGAGAATAGCTGCTTGCCTCATAAAATGGCATTCATTGTACTAACCACATTGCCAGGGGTCGGGAGCAGGGGGTATCTGTCACAAGCAACTATACTGTGCTGCTGCTGGGGTCTTGCCACCCTGGGCAGAAAGTGAGGCTGACCCTGTGGGGCAGCAGCTCTCCTCAGGGGGCTCAGAAGCTCAGGACGTAGCCTGCCCTGCTGTCTTATGCTTGGAGATGGCCTAGAGCTTGCTCTGTTCAAGCCAGGTGGTGGACTGTCAGGTCCAGCGTGTTTTCCAGGTCAGGCTAGTTTGCAATACAGCCTGACATCGTGGATCTGCAGGGCTGATGTGCCACTAGGCGTGAGCATCCTTAGAGATTAGTCTGGTGCTTCTCTGTGGGACTGGGCAGGGCTCACCCATCCCCAAACCTGGTGTGAGATGTCACTCTCTGGGCTTTGCTCCAGGTTGTGTCAGGTAGACCCCAGGAGCAATTTTATCTCCTCCAGCCACCCAGAGGTGGTGGCTGATTACCTGAGGAGATACTCTGATGAAGTCCCTGCTATTGACTAACAAAACCTCTCTGTTTTTACCCCATGCTGTTCACCTTTCCCTGGAAGTGTGGCAGCCTACATAGCTGAGAACCACAAACTGGAGAAGAAGGTGCAGCTGCTGCAGAAGCGGAACATGTGCGTTCTTCTTATTGGGACGTAGCAGGAGATGTGGTGGGGAAGGCAGTTCCTCTTCTTGGGATTGTGGCTGGTCTTTGGCTGCAGAGAGGGGAGGACGGGAGCATGCAGCTCTTTGTTCAGCCACTGTGTTAACCGGCGTTGCCTGCTCTCCCACAGGTCACTACTCAAGCAGTTGAGGAAACTGCGAGCCTTGGTGAAAGAGTCCACTGCCATAACTACCACAGCAGAAACCCACACCATGGTGAGTGGCTTCAGTGAAGGGTTGTCTGCTGTCCTTATAAGTTTGGGAGAGAGGAGTTTATTGTGGCTGATGATGCTTATCCATGCCCTTTGCTGAGGTCTTGCTGATCTTTCTGTTTCCAGGTTGTGGTTCTGTCCTTCTGCCTCGTTCTCTCCCCGAGCATCTGCTTATCTGAGAGTGGAGAGCCACAGCTGCAGCTCAGAGGTGAGTGCTGGGGGGCTGGGGCATGGCTCCGGGTGAAGCACTGCCCTTTGGGGCAGAGCATCTTCCTCAGAGACAGCCTGAACTCTGGGGCGCTTCCAACCCTGCAGCCCATTGCCTGGGGTGACTACTAGGTCTGGCTTTGCCGCCTTGCCCCAACTCTGGACTCTTCTTCAGCCCGGTTGCAGAGGCCCACCTAGGGGCAGGGCCCTGGGCCAGGGACTGTACAAAAATTGGGAAGATCTACTCCCTCTCTTCAGGAGGCAGCTTTGCAGCATCCTCTCCCCGCCTCCCCTGGGAGGAGGCAGCCCTAGTTGAACAGTTTGTTCCTCTCTCTTGGGCTCTGCGGTGGCCCATGCTCAGAGCAGGACGGTGAGAGACTGGGAATGACGAGCTGGCTCTACCTCTCTTGCAGTGCTGCCACAGCAGATCCATGGGTTTCCAAACCAAGTAGTACCTGAAGTGGAGGAGAACGCTGTGCTGGAGGGATTCAGCCCAGAGCCTGAGAACCAGTTGCTGTTGGGCTGCCTTAGTCAATTACAGAAAGAGGAGCAGAGTCCACCCGACGCTGATCCCGGATCTTCTTTCAACAGCCCACCCAACGCTGATCCCGGATCTTCTTTCAACAACAGCTTGTCCCCTGACCCTCCAGCGGCAGTAGCCTGTGAGCTGGCCCCTCGTGAGCCTCAGACACACTGGTCCCAGGTTGACCCTTTGCAGCCAGAGGTGCTGGTGGTATGGAAAACAAACAGGCAGGAGCAGGTGGAAGACAGTGCCATGGTTGTAATCAAGCAGGCTTGCGCTGATGAGATGTGAACACCACCACCTCCTGCTTCTCAGGGTGACACTGGGCACCTTGCCAGGCAGGGACGAACAGACTTGCATTAACATATCATCTATCAAAGCGGGTTCTTCTGAATACTCTCTTGATTGCTGGCAGCTCAGAGGATTTACTAGGGAGAAATCATTCTGACACTCTGCTCTGTATATCTATAGCAGGACCCCATCTGTGATGGGGTAGGAAACTCTGGGAAGTTTTCTATGGTTGCTGATGTGGCCTGCAGCCTAGGCTACATGCCGTGGCTTGCAGGGATGGCCTGTGGCATAGAGGTTGAAGGCAGTTGGGCCTGAGGTGTGCGTATTTGGTCTGACCGGTTACAACTGATGATGAAGGCTGCTGCCCCGCTTCTTCCCTGCATAGGTGGAGGTGAACAGACTGGGTCCTGCACTTCTTACTGTGTCAAGTGACTGTAAGGATCTGTCCCTTGTCCCTTCCCCTTAATCCTGCACTGTTGCCTGATTTCTAGGTGTGTGATAGCAAGCTGACCTTCAGTGCCCTCACAGGGAGTTGTCCTGCCATTGTGACAGACTCTCTGTGTCACCTGTTCCTGCTGGCTTTTGAGCCACGGGCACAGCTCCTGGCCTGGCTAGAGGAGGTAATATGGAATCCTTCCTGAGCCATGGTTTCCCTTCCGTAGGGACTGAGTGTTTCATCTCCCACAGCCCTGGGAACAGGGCTTCTGGGCCTCAGGGAGAAGGTATACCTTGAACCAAACTACTGAAGGGGTGTGGAGCAGGGAGCAGTGGAGCTGCCACAGGATGATGTAAAAGCTGTGTCCCCGTGTGCCCGAGCTTTGCCTGTGCTGGCTGGAATGCAGTCAGCTGGGTCTGTTTGCTCCCTAGAGCTGAGCAGAAACACTTCCATCTGGTAAGCGATGTCTTTCCTGAAGTGCAGCTTAGTGATACCTGTAGAGCATCTCTCCTTGTCCTACTTCAGGACCTTTCATAGAATCATATAGAATGGATTGGGTAGGAAGGGACCTTTAAAGGTCATCCAGTCCGACCCCTGTGTAGTAAGCAGGGACATCTTCAGCTAGATCAGGATAATAGTTAATAATTTCCTTATTAGTAACATATAAATAAATACTAGTGATCTGTGACTCTGTCCTCTGTGGTCATTTTGATGAGGGGCTGGGCTGCTGGGTGGAAGGTAGGGGCTGCGCCAGGGGCTGGGAGTGTTGTGGGAGAAACCCAAGGGGGACTGGGGGCTGATCGTTTTGCAGCCAAACGAAGGGGAAAGCGTGTTGCCTTCCCTTCCCATGGCTGTGGCTGTGCAGAGGGGATTGTTGAGGCACGGTGCAAGTTTGTGGGGCAGTTGCTCTGCTCTCACCCTGCGAAAACACTCTTAAACCACTTTTGGAGATATATGCATGCAGTGAGCACCCAGCGCCTGTGTGTGAGCTGTGTGCACCCAAGCCACCCATGCTGCGGAAGCGAGCAGCTTCACTGGTAGGAAGCATGAGGAGCTGATGTCTGCCCTCAGCACTGCTTTCGTAAGGGGAGCTGCACAATCGCAGGAAGTGGAGCAGAGCCAGGGTGGTGCAACAGCCGCGTCCCCTCAGCTGGGAGCTGCGGGGAGGGCCCTGCCTGCTAAGTGGTTGCTAAATGAAGGCTGAACCCGGGATTTGGGTGTTGATCACTGGGTCCATGGGAGGCATTGACAGAACCTGAGCTCAGGATGCGGAGCACAGTGTAGGGTTTGGGGGCACGGGAGCCCAGTGAGGCGATGGGTGCAGGCAGCTTTGTGCTTACAACACGCCCAGGAAGCAAAGGGTACTTGGGCAGGTGAGCAAGATATAAAATTGAACGTTGTGTCTCTGCTTGGGAAGGAGAAACAGCCAAGGGGTGGCTCACCCCTGGGCCCTGTCTCAGGACTGACAGCAGCACACTCATAACAGGATCAGGTCGCAGCTCTGCCCTGGCTGGGGCAGGCAGCCCACGAGCATCCCCAGGGAACCACTGGACCTTTTTACCCAGGAGCTGCCCACGGTGACAGGAAGGTCTAGGACCCTGTCTTTGCTGTTCTTTCGTTTTTTGTAGTTCGAGATCAGGATGCATAATGCCACTGATGTCACTTGGAGTTGCTGGCCCAGCACTAATCGATAGTACATGGGTGATCTGAAATAAAACACGGTGGTGTTGTCTGCAAAGCAGGGAGCGGCCACCGGAGCTGATGTTTGGCCAGGGGCGATGGGGTCAGCACTGCACTCCATGGCCATCTGGATTGCTTGGCCAAACATCAGAAGAGAGATGACTCTGGGCAAGCGGGTAGGGAGCCAGGTGAGCGCAGCCGAACACACGCTCCTACTGCCAGGCGCTCCCTGTGCCAGCCAGCGCAGTCCTTCCATGTGGAAAAGCTTGTGGCAGAGGCTGGGATATCGCAGAGCCCAGAGCTGGCCCCAACACGATGTGTCTGCACTGGGAGTTTTGGGGGTGGTTGCTCTGTGGTCTCAGCCCGTGCTGCCTCTGGGCTGCTATTTTTCACTGCTTTCTGTGTTCTTGCACAAATCCCACAGTGAGCGGCTCCGAGCCAGAGAGAGGAAGGAAGCCCAGCCTGGGCCTCACACCTTGGGTTATAGGGCAACCATGATAAAAATGCCAGGAATGAGTCCTTAGGCCGAGGAGGCTCCCACCTTTTTTTCATCAAGCAGAGGAGCAGGAGGCACCTGGGATTTCTGCCAACCTCTTCCTCCTGCTTGCTGCAGACCCTCCATGACACCTTATTGCCTTGCACACTGGAAGGATCAGAGCACAGGCTGCGTGTACATCAGTGCTGCTTGCATGCACACACGGCCCTGCACTCTGGCTTGTGTTGGTGTTACAGTCCCTGCTTGCCCTCCCTGCTGTGTTCCCTCTGTTATGCCCAAGGCTGACCCGTATCCCAGTGCATGTCCCAGCAGGTGCCTGCATCAGCATCATGGGAGCACACCGACAGACCAAAACCATGAGCCTTTCAGGGCAAAATACTCAGCTCAGCCCTTGGCAAGGCCCGTATGGGTGTTCCCGGATGGGAAGCATCTCTTTTTTGTTTGGTGACTCCTTGAGTGTTGGTAGTGCCATCTTCTTTCCACAGTAGTGACATACTAAAAGTTATGAAATCATGAAATGAAATTTACCTTCTGTTACCAAGGAGAGCCTGGGCTGTGGGGCTGGTACAAAACACCTGCTGCCTACAGCTTTAAAGGAAACAGGTTTTCCCTTTTTTTAAAGAAACTGGAGTTTCTTGGAGAGGTGGGAATTTCAGTCAGTAGCAGAAGACATAACCTCCTTTTCAAGGGAAACCTAAACCCCATGTCAGCATCCATCCTGTTTTAGCATCAGCTGCTGAGTATTGGCGGAAACAGAAGAACCAGCAGAAATCTGAATGCCCGGTTAAAAAGCAACTGGAAATATAGCGATGGAGCCACCATCTTCCCCCAGCTCCCAAAACCAGACACCTCAGCCCCAGGGCTGTGGAACCCCCAAGGGAGCTGGTTGTGTCAGGACCGCTTTGGCAAGGTGTCTGAGGCAGAAAGCAGAGAGGTCGGGCTGCGATGCTGGAAAAAAAACCAACCAGTGCCAGATGCGTCCTTCCCCTCTTCCCCTTCCACGGCCACACGTGGTGCAGCAGGGACTTGACTGAAGACCTCGCCGTGTGCATTGCTCAGAGGACACAGCCATGCCAAGGTGGGGTTCTCTCTTGGGACAGGCTATTTGGGAGCTTTCCCCAGCCCTGGGGGGTTGGCAGCTGGCCATCACAGCACATCCGCTGGGGCTGGGAATGGGAGGCTGCTGGCTCTGCAAAAGCCATTTGCAGCCGCCCCGTGCATTCGGGCGCCTGAGAAACTTCCTCTGCTCGCACGGGGAAGGCTCTGCCTGGAGCTTGCCCTGCAGCCCTGGGACATGCTGCTCATGGCATCCTGCCAAGGCTGTGCCTCATCCTGCAGCCTGGTCACAGCCCAGATTGCACCGCATCCCCAGGGACCCCAAGGGACAAGTTACCCACAGCAGAGTGGCAGGTTTGCAGGTGCAGCATTGCTGCACGCTGCCAAGTAGGGGATGTGGGACAGCCCCCCCTCCCCAGGAACCCTGCTGCCCTCAGCAATGCAGCATGAAGCCTCCCCATGGGAGGGTGTCGGTGGGGCAAGACAAAGCCCACGGGTTTGAGGCAGGGCAGAAAACAGAGCCAAGCCCCGCATCCCCACACAAACCCTTTATTTTGCACCTGGTGCTCAACTTGCCTGGGAAAGCATGACCTGTGAGCCGAGAGCTGCTGAAATGCAACACGTCAGCACGGGCAGAGCCTGGCTGGGGGAAGCGCTGTCTCGTTGCAGTTCTGGGCCTCCTGGATTTCCGCACTTGCTGTTATTTTATCCGGGTGAAAATGCTGGTGCCAATCCTGCAGGAAACCCCAAATCACTGTGGTTCGCCCAGCGGGGGACACCTATGCTGTTGTGGAAGGTATGGAGGGGTAGCACAGTGGGAGCACTGTGTTCCTCACTGGATGCTGAGTGGGATGCCCCAGGATCCAACACCCTGTAGCGGAATCTGCGCTGGGTGCTGGGATCGTGTCCTGCTCTCTCCCTGCTGGGGAGAGTGCAGGGAGAGTCCTGGGGGGATTTGGCTGGGGATAGACCCTGTCCTGGCGTCACCCACCCTGGGGCACACCTGGGATGCAGGGGCTGGCCACGTCACAGGGATGCTCCTTAGCCTCTGCTTGTCACCATTTCACCCTCCCAGTCCTGCTACACCTCATCCCATGGGATTTCTCCCTTCTCCAGCCCAGGGTGCAGGAAGGCTTGGCACAGCAGTGGCTGGGACACAGTGCTCACCCGGT